GGCGGCCATTTCTCCGAGCGCTACGCGGTCCGGGTCTGCGGCGGCTGCTCCGGTCACGCACGAGGGGTTTGCAGCGGCAGGGTCGGCGGCGAGCGGGGTGTAGCGCTCGCTGGTGTTCGCGATGGTAAGGAGGACGAGCCCTGCGGGCAGGGCGAGGGGGACGGCCGGGCTTGGCGGGGCTTGCGGCGGGCAGCGCCGTCCATTCATCCCCATGAGGCGCCGCGCGGCCGCACGCTCGCTCCTTCTCCCCGCCCGGCGGAGGGAAGCCCTGCAGCGCGCGCCTCGGACCCCTTCCCGTCCCCGAATCCCCCGGCCGCCTTAGGGAAGGGGGAAACTGAAGCGGGGTTTCACTCCCCGCGAGCACACGCCACAGTACACCTTCATCATTCCGTAAGGTTGACACCCTAGCTTATTGTTCCCTGGAACCGAAGGCCCGGGCTACCCCTTCATTCATCTGATGCTGTTCTTAGGGCGCCAGGGACTCATGCAGACCCTGCAGTTTCTCAGGTGTGGGAGGGAGGCGACAGCCCGTCCCAGGTGTAAGCAATTGGCGCGTAGTGGCCATCGCTAAGCGGGAAGCTGACAGGATGCCCTGGGAAGGCGCCTTGGGAAGTTAGAGCGCCGAGGAGGAGCACCCCTCTTTAAAAGGTGGCACTTCACCGGAAATCTAAGTGACAGGAAGAGCAGGTGGAAGAGTGTGTCACGCGCGAGCCCTAACCAGAAAGTAGGCTGACCAGTTGAAATCCACGGGAGCCAACAGGTGCTTGCAATAGTAGTTCTGAATTAAGGACCGCTCATGCTGACACGTGCTGGGAGTGTTGGCTTCTCGCCCTTGCAGAAGACCTGGGCTCGATTCCTAGGTCTCTCAAGGCCTGTTAGGAAGTTTGTCTCCTTCAAGCGCAGTTGGAGAACATTGGAGTGTTTTTTAAGCCAAGACATCACATGACTTGATAGATGCTTTAAAAATAGTGGTTGCTTTGTGGATGATAAATTATAGGCAGTGGAAATTGGCTACTGATTTAGATCCTGCCCTCCAAGATCCCCTCATCTTAGAGTTTAGTAACCAAACTTCTCAGTTTCTTTGGGATGATGGATGAGTAGATTTGGGATTGTTGGTCCTGAATTTAAAGGGAATTATTGATTTTTGCAGAATAAGCTTGATACGGTTGCATTGAGAGGCACTGGTCATGATAAAAACTGGAGACCCAGTCCTGCCTCCCACAGTGAAAGTGAACCTGATTTGCCCTCTGCATCTTTCTGTCGTTTTGCATTGGGCACTCTTGTTTCTTATGTCTGCAGCAATCTCCTCCGACGAGTGCCTTTATTTCTTTAGAGCGTGGGTAGTGAGTAGGTATTTGGGGGTTTTTTGTTGTCTCAACACTGCTTGGAATAGAACCAGTGGCCTCTTGCATGCCAGACCAGTGCTTCGCCCCCACCTGGTATTCAGTATTTGATTGCTTTGTCAATGAGTTAAATGTGAAGTTGACTAAATGGGTATTTAAATATATCTGACACTCTCCAACAAATTGTAAAGTGCCGGTGGATCCAGTTGGCCCTAACTAGATGCCCCTGAAGTCTTACTTGATGGTTTGGTAGAGAGTTGGGTGGTGGAAGCTGAGCTAAGCAAAAACGATCAAATGGTGCTTTTGTTCTCTTGCAGAGTTTACCCCTCAATCCCAAGCCTTTTCTCAATGGACTGACAGGAAAACCAGTGATGGTGAAACTCAAGTGGGGGATGGAATACAAGGGCTACCTGGTCTCCGTCGATGGCTACATGAACATGCAGGTAAGCCCGGGAGTGCCGGCAACAGTAAGACTGTTTATTTCACCGTCTCCTCAAAGGTTTACTGTGACTGATAAGTACACAATTAAACTGGCAAACAGAAAGCAGAATTCAGGATTAAAGTGCCCTGCAGGGAGGATGTTGAACTGATGGACTTAGTACTAAGACCCAGGATCAAACCAGAACCCCACCATGAACTTTACTATGACAGCCAAAGAAAGAAGAGCTTTGGCGTCTGGTTTCTGATACCATTTTATTACAGAAACCAAAACCTCCCAGCACTTCCTTTTTCAAAGAATTTATAAGAGAAAATTTTAAATTGTTTTAATGAGTTCTAAAAAAAAAAAAAACAGCATGAAAGCGATTCACTGACAGCATTCTGTCATAGAACAGAAATACGAAACAGAAGAACTGGAAATGGACTGTGCCTTAGCTTCTGTTAGTGATTCATGGTGTATCTCTAGTCTGGGACGCGCCATGTAGACTGGGCTGGTCTTGAACTCAGTCATCTGCCTGACTCTGCCTCCCGAGTATAGAGATTAAAGACATGTACTACTATGCCTGGTACCTTTGTCTATTTTTTTTTTATTTTTATTTTTTGTTTGTGGTGGTTTGGTTGTGGTTTTTGCCCAGGTCTTAAAGGTTAGCTACATGGATACCTTAACCAGAAACCCAGCTAACAAGCATATGGAAGTTTTTGTTCTGGAAAATTCTTGAAATGAGTCATTCACAAAGGCTATAGAAAAGTCACAGTGAAAAATACTGTGGAATTAGTGAGGAAAGTTCAGTTTTATGAATATACTGAAAAACCACAGAGTGGTGTTTTAAAAGTAAGTTTTGTTCTACCCCAGCACCTCATAACTCAGTGTTGTGATGAAAGCCTGTAATTCCATCATTCGGTGATAAGAGGTAGGAGGACCAGAAGTTAAACATCTTCAACTACATGGAGAGTTAAAGACCAGGTCAAAATACATGAGACCATCTTATATTTGGCTACATTTCCTAAATGTAGCTTCCCCAAGTTACAAAATGTATCTGAGTGAGCCCAGTTTCTGAGTTGTCTCAGTTAGCCAAAACTTACTGTCTGGTACTGTGATGGTACTGATTGGTTCTTGATTCGGTGGTGGGAGATGATAATGTAACAGATAATCAGGTATGATACACAAAGCAAACCAAGGGGCTAGAGGATGCAGTAATAAGCACGGCAGTCTAGCCTCTCTGAAGAAGCCATGAGCATCCCGAACAAATCGCCTCAGTTGGAAAGGGCAGCAGATGCAAAGCGTCCGTCCACAGGCATGCTCGGTGTGTTCAGGGTGCACGCAGCAGAGTGGGGGTCAGAGAGAGCTTCTTCAGCAGTGGTGAGGGTTTTGGATTTAATACACGATGGGAAGCTTTGGGGCATTATTGTAATTTAGAAGCCAGTTAAGTGTTGGGACATGTAAAATCAGTGGCTCTTCATGTATTACATCTGATAGCAATTATACAAAATGAATAGTCTCACAAACGTGTTTTTGGTGATAAGTTCTCTAGAAGAAACACCTAGCAGGTTTTAAATGCCTTACACCACATCTTCCTATTTTTCATGTCTACCACCTGCTTATGAAAGAAGAGTCCTTCCCTTATTCTGCCCTTGGTGGTCCCATATAGCATTGGTAGTGTGTTTTTTTTTTTTAATATGAGAATGCCAGCTAAACATTTTAAATTTAAAATTGGAATAGTTTGGCTGAAGTAATTTTACAGATTTTTGTTTTGTTTTGTTTTTCGAGCCTGTCCTGGAACTAGCTCTGTAGACCAGGCTGGTCTCGAACTCACAGAGATCCGCCTGACTCTGCCTCCCAAGTGCTGGGATTAAAGGCATGTGCCACCACCGCCCGGCCTTTACAGATGATTCTTGTCTTGATTTTTTTTCCCCCCAATTGAGTACATGAATTTTTCAATTTGGTTTGGTTGTTGGTTAATATATTTTAGTCATAGGTTTTGTGCGCCCATCTTAGTATGATCCATAATGTTTTGCTCTGAGAAAAAGTTGATGTCTGATTCTTTGGATTTTCAGAAACTTGAAAAGTTATAACTCATATTGGAAGCTTTCTTTGATCCACTTTCTAGAAGGCATAACAGCTTTGAAACAAGCTTTATTATATATTAGTTTTGTACCATGCATGTCTTAATTCAGGAGATCCTCCAGATACAAGAGTAATAGGAAGCTAATTTTCTACTTACTAATTACGATACAGTCTGAGTTGGTGAAGTCTCGTCTCAGTCACTGTGCTCTCACCAGTAGGTGCCACTGTTCTCTTGTGCAGTTATACTAACATCTTTCTTTCTATCTAAAGCTTGCAAATACAGAAGAATACATAGATGGTGCGTTGTCTGGACATCTGGGTGAAGTTCTAATAAGGTAATGAGTGCGTTTGTGTGTGAGGAGTTACTGGTGAAACTCAATCTGCTTAAATCAGTCTTAGTTTGGGAATTACTTTAAAGGAAAAAAAGCCAAAAGATTTAACAGTTCTCTGCATCTAGACTTGAGAAGCCTTTGAAATTACTAAATTTGTTGGGAGATTTCAGTTCATCCTCAAGGTTTTCCTACTGTTGATGACATTTCCCGGTCCTTAGCTGTAACCTGTGTCCTGGGTTACAGAACTTTGATTTGAAGTTTAAGTCTAGCTGCTGAGGATTTGTTGTATTCATTTTCTAGTCTGAGCATCCACCTCTAGCTGCTGAGGATTTGTTGTATTCATTTTCTAGTCTGAGCATCCACCTCTGTTCTGATAAGTTGTAGGTGTGATTGTGATGAGTGCTAGAAGCATGTGTTGTGTGCTTTTAAACATGTCTGATAGCACCAGCCGAGGAGGGTGACAAGCTCCAGTTTGAAAATGGAGCAGTGATGATCATGCGTGGTTTGAGTGAATCAAAACGGACCTTTGTTTTGTTTACAGGTGTAATAATGTTCTTTATATCCGAGGCGTTGAAGAGGAGGAGGAAGATGGGGAAATGAGAGAATAGCATCTTTGAGGTTTTTTTTTTATATATATGTATTTCTAGACAATAAAGATTTGGGTTTTTTCAACTTGACTTGTGAACTATTTCTATGCAGACACTTGTATGCAAAGCGCAAATGTTGAAGCAATGGATAATCATAGAACTAATGCTTCAAGAGCCCCCAGTTTTATTCAAGGTGACTTTTTGGTAAGCCCATTGATTTCATTTTTTTCTATAAAGGATAAATAAGTTTGTGCTTTAGAACTTTTCTGAAGGTGAGTTTCAGCCATGGTAATTGTACTGAGACTTAGCTGTGTCTTTAAGGTTTTCAAACCACTTTAACATGCTTAAACATTTCCTTAGTATTTATATTTATTGTATTAATAAATTACATATCAATATAGACTAATGTACATATTGTCAAAACATGAAAACTGAAATAATTACGGAGATAGAGCATATCACAAACCGACATTCAAGCTAAAGGTGTGTGGTTTGTTCACTTAAAGTTGTCAGAGCTTACTGTGAGATAACCAGTCTCGTGGTCTGAGGCCATAGTCTATAGGTTTGTACATTTTAAGCCTGTCCAGTTGTTTTCAGAATAGCACATTGTTAAAATGTTCATTCGTAGCAATGAACTTCCTTATTGCTTTAGAAAATATGACTAAAATTCTCATGCTTTGAGGGAGGGAGGTCATTCTGCTATAAATCATGCTTCCTATAATTCTATCAATAAAGTCCTTTGGATGTGTCTCCAAAGGGGACAACCTAAAGTACAGTATTTCTTAGCTCATGGATGATGGCACTGAGTAGTGGCTTGGCAAAAAACTGTTGCCATGCCTACTCCTGTAAACTTCAGCCTTGCATCACTGAACGCCAACATCGTATAAAAAACATTTGCTAATTAAATGTCTTCATGCTCCTGTTCAACTAAAAAAATACTCTTCCTCCTGTGTTTTTGTTCTTGTATCGCCAATTAAAACTAACTCCTGTTTACTATCAGATTGAGGTTTCGAACGGTAGACCAGTCGTCTTCCCAGCTGAAACAGAAAAAAAACAAAATAATTTTCTTTGGCATAACTTTTCTGTTGCAGTATGTAGAATGTCAATATTGAACTCTTTACATGAATAAAATGGCTTAAAATAGAGGAGTTAGATGTCCAGCATGCTTGGCAAATGGGGGCACCTTTAGAATACCGAAGACGGTGGAGTGATGAACAGAAAGTTAAGGAGCAGGTAGCTCAAATACGACTGGCTAAGAGAGCACCGTGTTGGCCACTAATGTTGCCTTCCCTAGTGCTCTACCTGGGTTTCCCCTCAATGGCTTCGAGTAGGTGCTTTGTTGAGCCTGTTTGAGAAAACCATTTTAATCTGTGTTCTTGTTGGGTCTTGGAAGTGTTTGCATTAGGAGCTTTTAAGGAAACCTGTGATTCATACCTCTCCCTTCTCTGGTGAATGTGTGTAACTTAGGTGTTTGGGTGAGGGAACTGCCATGTTGTGTTGATCATGATCGGAATCCCCAGTGTGCCTCGGAAGGGTGGGCAGTTCTCATGGGGACTGGACTAGGGACCATGCTGGCAGAACACAAACCTTCTTCTTGGGCTGTGCTACTGCTCTTTCCAGAGCAGCTCTTAGCCGCTCCTCCTGGTGTCTTTGCTTTTCTCTCATCTTCTCTTCACGCAGCCTGTCATAGGCAAGGAGGTACATTCTTATTAGAAATTCTCTAATTCATAAAAAGCAAAACATCTACATTTGTTTTCCCCCCATGGGCCACAAGAGGGCGCCAGAGCTCAGGACGGGTGGCTGTGAGCCTTGCCGGTCAGCCGGAATCGAACTTGGGGCCCTTGGCAGGAAGGGCGATCGGGCCTTGAACAGTGCTCTTAACCGCTGAGCCATCTCTCCGGACGGCTAAACATCTACATTTGTGTTGCTTGATAATGAACTATCCACTTGTAAGGTTCCCATAGCGATGGCTTTGAATATTTGGCAAAGGTAAGGCATTTGATTTCATTTTGGAAAAGTCCCTCTTCCCAGTTTGGTCGGAAGCAAGGCCATGCCTTCCCCTCTCCATCCCACTGAAGTCCTTTATGCCACAGCTACTTTAGCTCCCAGCTACCTCCCCCTCTTAAAGTTTCTCAACCTGGGGGTCAAACCACTCGTCATAAGGGTCACATATCAAATACCCGCATATCATAATCATTACTATCGATAACAGTAGCAAAATTAGAGTTTTGAAGTAGGAACTAAATAGTATAAACTGTACTAAAGGGTCGTAGTATTAGGAAGGTTGAGGAGAAAAAGTTCTTTTGAAAACTAGGACTGTGTGCATGTTACTGTAGGAAATAAGTTATAATTTACTCTCAAGACTGTTGCTACTATAAAAACCTGAGGCCATCTGTCAGGAGCCATCCTCCACTAAGATTAAGTTTGCTTCATCTTCTGTAAGAGCCGTCACCTTCATTTTTACATGAGCAGATGGTATCCCTGTGCACCAGTAATATTAACAATATCGATGGCTAGCGTGTCACACTGACTACTTCATCAGCATCCCCACGTGCCATGTGATAGCAACGACGGTATGCCATCACAGCTCCAAACGAAATGACTACGAGAACCTGTAACTTGTGAGGGAGAGGTCTTGAGGATGACGACAGTCCTAGAAGGCTGTCCGTGGGAGGAAATGAGCAAGAGTGTGTGTGCCAGCTACGTGTCCCAGGGGGAACCCCTCACTGAATAGCGCGGAGCTTCATGCCATTCCTTCCTTATACACCAGCTCACCCTGTGGTCTTCTAAATGTAGAACCTGCCCCACAGTGTCGATCCTGCACATGACAGCCCTTGAGCCGTGTTCCTATGACTGGAGACCCTCCCACAGCCATCCTGGTTGGGGTAGTTGTCCCTGCTAAACTATTTTCCCAGCTCCTTTGGTTCAGAGTGCTCATTGCCTGTAATAACAATAACAGTCATTTCTCAAGAATATTCTCTGGGGAGGTGAGCATGAGTTGACCCTGCGCCCCCAGTTGCAATGCTTGCCATGTAGAGGTTGCTGATGGGGGTAGGGAGGTGGGGAGGGGTTACACAAAAGCAGCCACCTAAGCCATGGGCTATACTGAGAAGAGTATCACCATACTTTTGCCGTCGCTCCTTCTGTTTGATCCTTTCAATGGCTTCTACATTTTCTTTGGGAATAGATTCGATGAGGTCACTCAGCTCCACCAGGCGAGACTCGACTTTGACCAGCTTTTGAACTGCGTTCAGGCTGCCGACCTCAGCATCTCCGATGCAGACTCTGTAGACTTGATTAATCTTTTTACTAAGCGAGTCTATCAGCCTTTCCTGAGCTCAGGAAAAAAGCATAAAACATTCTTTCACTATTCACTCACTGTCAGAAAATGCAAAATTCCATTCTACCTTGTTAGCAATGAAAAGTCCTTTAAACCCAGGGCCTAAGGCATGGTAAACAAACGGTCTATCGTTGAGCTACACCCCGGACTCCCTAAATGCTTCCTTAAAAGACAGATCAGTGAGAACGAGAACATGTAGCAGGGGATATTTGTGCTGTAGTTTATAGTCATTACAGTGATACCTGGGATTATATTAAAATATATACAATATTTACAAGCATGTGTATAAAGCATTCCCTAAATGTTCTGAGAGCAGACAAAACATCTAAAACCACTGTACTACCAGCGGTATAATGGTGTTCCTCCCCCATTTTTATTACACTCACTAAAGTCCATACTGCTATGCGATATTTATTTGCATATGTGCTCAGTCCTCTTGAGGGGGAATTGTAGGGCAGGGGCTACTGCTTTGGCTACCATGTACCCCTAAATCAGTGTCCTGCACATAGCTACACACTTAATAAATGTTTGCTGAATCAATGAATGCATTCTTTCAGAGAAGCGCGTGTTCAAGCAAACAGATTCCTAGGCTGACCAAACAGCCTTTAGGAGTTGAAAATCAGAACTCTCCACGGGGACGCCATTGCTGTATTCTACTCTAAGGAAATTAGGCCGAAGCCCGCCAATCCCTGTACCTCGCCACTGCGCTCTTTTACTTGAAGTTGCAGTCTCTTGAGCTGGTAGATAAAGTAACTCGGGAGAGGAAAGATAGCATCCTTTATCTCCAGAGGGACTCAATAAACTTCTCGACAAAGTAAATACTGCCCCAGGATTGCACGCTTCTGCTCAAGAAGATGAAAGTCACCACACAGTCAAGGAAACCCCACCCGAGGCCAATGGACTCACACCGCTGGGGAGACCCAGCCCGGACCACAAGTGCCTCACAGAGCCATTGGCCTCAGGCTTCCAACAGCATGTCGCTCCGCCTCCTGCTTTAATAAATGTTCTGAAGATCCTGTCCACTGCAGAACTCTTAGCCTCTCACTTTCTAAATACTTACTGTATTTCCATTTATACTACAAGAACCATCTTTTTTTTTAAAGAAAACTTAGGGAAATACAAAACAATACAAAAGAAAATCATGAATCCTATTTACCAAGAAGTCCTGACTGTCACTATCACAACATAGCACTTGTTTCCTAGTTATAGACCCACATGTTCTTTTTAGAAACCTTGGAGACAGCTAAAGGGCAGAACAATATAAAAGGGGAAAATGCGAAAGGACACCACCAAGTGTGTGTGGGGGGTAACACACTATGTAAAAATCTTGCCAGAAAATAGGGTTCATAACTATAATCCTAGCACCTAGCTGAGGCAGATAATTGCCATGAGTTTGGGTCAACCAATGGGATCCTCTCTTGAAGAGAGAAAAAAAAACTTACTCTAATGTACATGGGAATTTAAAGTATTTAATTCTGGTTTTTAGAAAAACTGGTAGGAAAATGTTCCGATGGAAGTTTCTGAAGGCTCCTTGAACAGAGCACTAGGGACAGACAGACGGTGACTTTTCATGGTGTTTTTAAAGTGTCCCCCCTTCTCCCCAAACAGCAGAGGGAAATACAACATGAAATACTTTCTTAAAACAAGAAGAAAACAGATTAAAAACTAAGAAGGAAATGAAAGAAGGCAGCTGTGTAAATGAGATTGAGCCCCCTGGTCCTCCACAGCTAAAGAGCCAAGAAAACTTCCAGGCTGAGGCCAGCTGGTGAAGGCAGAGATGTGCAAATGAGTCTTTTAAATTGTCACTAGAGGGCAGGCTCAGGCCAGAGTGTGGGAGGAGCAGCGGCTAGGATTGGCCGTCCTGGCAGTAGGCGCTGGGTGCAGGAAGATGGATCAAAGACTGAGTACCCTGATAGCATAAGGTGCTTGGTGCTTGTCATCAGGTGAACAGGATCCTATGGGACCAGCACAGTACTTAAAACTGGAGAGCTGTCCCCCCCCTTTTTTGGGGGGGGGGTTCTGTCCTGTAACTAGCTCTTGTAGACCAGGCTGGCCTCGAAATCACAATCTGCCTGCCTCTGCCTCCCGAGTACTGCCACCACTGTCTGGCTGGACTCCATTTTTCTAATCCGTGTCTCCTTCCTTGCGGACACATAAAAAACCAGAGATGATCAAATTCAGCCAACATGCCGTCCCAAGGCCACTAAAAACAAACCACTGCTGCTGAAAAGGTATGTGGGCGAACCCCGTAAACATGGGGGCGGGGAGACACAGGCTACAGTTCTGTCTATAGGGTTCAAAACAGCAAAGCAAATCTATGGTGAGACGTTAAAACAGGGATCGCTTTGAAGGAAGGAGAGATCCAGGGCGGGGTTCTGGTAGGAGTCAATTTAGTCCCTCTTCTGTGGGCTGCTGGGGGCTGCGCTCGCTTGAGAAAATTCCTTTAGAGGCAGACTTACTTGTCAATGTTATTCTTATTAAATTTTTATATTAAAAATACTGAGGAAAAATTTTTAAGGGGTTGAATACATTTGTTAAGTGTGGCAGTTTTGAAAGAATTAAAAAGTTATTGTTATAGATTTGAAGTCCCTAATGATGACACCGAAATTATTTGTGCTATATTGTCCTCAATAAATCGGGGGGGGGGGGGATTTAAGATTAGGAATGGATGTTTATTCAAAAAGGATTATGTTTTGTATATTTTAAGATTTGAAAGATTGGAGGACAGTCGAAAAGTCTAAGACTATAATGCCTCATTCGTGTGTCTAGGGGTGTAGCTTTGGTCCTGTGCCTGTCTAGCATGCCATGTCTAGTTTTTAGAGGCACCTAAAAACTGCATGAAAGGGATGGAGAGATGGCTCAGAGGTTAAGAGCATCGATTGCTTTTCCAGAGGTCCTTGAGTTCAATTCCCAGCAACCACAAGGTGACTCACAACCATCCGTAGTGAGATCTGGTGCCCTCTTCTGGCCTGCAGGCATACATGCAGACAGAACACTAAACAAAAAAAGACTGCATGAAACTAGATGTGGTAGCATGTGTTTGTAATCCCAGCCTCAAGGAAGGGTGGGAGGAGAAACTCAAGACCATCTTCATCTGCTTAATTTGAAGCCAGTTTGAGACCCAGTCTCAAAAACAAAATCAAAACAACAACAAAAAACCCACCTCTAATTTTTCAGTTTTCCCCGCTTCTTCCATATCCCGTACTTCCTACTTTTGGAAGACTGAGTTACTAACCCCATGCTCCAGAGTGTGCCTGCAAATTTTCCATGAATTGCCAATGTCATACTTATGACTCTAATTTTGTGGATAACCTTAAGCAGGACTTAAACAGGAATTTTCAAAGCAGTCCTCAGTGGTTTTACCATCTGGGCATTGAGCCCTGGCCCTAGATTCTCCCTTCCCTTAGTTGACTCAGTATTTAAAGTATTGAAGATGCCTTTTCCCCATCGTCCCCTGCTCTGAAATTACAGGGGTTTGCTTGAAGTGTGGATGCCAATAATGTCACAAATAATTTGTCTTTTATCTTACTGGGTAGTAGGTTTCAGAATTGAGTTGAAGGATAGGAACAACCCAAGTGTCCATCAGTAGAGGAATGAGTAAATAAAGTATGTGGTTCAGGCCGGGTGGTGGTGGCGCACGCCTTTAATCCCAGCACTTGGGAGGTAGAGGCAGGCGGATCTCTGGGAGTTCGAGGCCAGCCTGGTCTACAAGAGCTAGTTCCAGGACAGGCACCAAAGCTACAGAGAAACCCTGTCACACACAAAAAAAAAAGTATGTGGTTCATAAGATGGAATATTGTTCAGCCTTAAAAAGGGCAAAATTCTGACACCTGCCATGATGTGGATGAATCTGGAGAACATTGTACTCTGTCACACGAGGTCTAGACAGAGGACACGTATTGTACATATCCACTTGCACAGGATACAGAAAGAGTCACCTTCCAAGAGACCAAGAGAGGACAAGCAGATGTGGGCAGTGAAGGGATGGGGGGGGGGCGCGTGTTTAATGGGCAAGCACCTTGTACAAGACCAAAAGCATTCTTCAGATGGGTTGTACAGACCAAAAGCATTCTTAAGATGGGTTGTACAAGACCAAAAGCATTGTTAAGATGGGTTGTACAAGACCAAAAGCATTCTTAAGATGGGTTGTACAAGACCAAAAGCATTCTTAAGATGGGCTGTACAAGACCAAAGGCATTCTTAAGATGGGCTGTACAAGACCAAAAGCATTCTTAAGATGGGTTGTACAGACCAAAGGTGTTCTTAAGATGGGTTGCAGAACAGTGCGAATATATTTGACACCAAACCGTACGTCCAAAAATGGTTAAAATATTAAATCTATGCCTAAGTGATGGAGAAGTTTGGGAAATAGACCGTGGTAACAGTTATGTTGTGTGAACATACTTAATGCCATTGAATTGCCCACTCAGAATGGTTAGATGGTAAATTTTCTGTATATGGTACCACAGTTTAAAAAAAATGGTTGATTAAAAAGAAAAGCAACTGAACTGTTCCAGTCAACACAGTCCCTGCCACAGCTAAGACATCATACTGTCATATCTTAGGACATGCAGGAGCCTAGCAGCCAGAAATAGCCTTTGCCTTGAGTAACTATAGGCAAGGGAGGATGGTTGCCTGTTTTCTAAATGCAGCCCATTCCCCAAATCTACCTCTGTCTAAAAAGTCAAAGTTTGCGATCATAAATGTAACGTTAGTCCCACGTAGCAACTTTGGATTCTTATTTCCCTAGAGGTCTTTCCAAGAAACCAGAGGTAGTCAGAGTTTCTTGTGGACCTGAAAGCTACCCTCATCATTCATTCAACAAACATTTATCGAGCATTGACGCTATGGGGACACTGAGCTCATCAACAGGATTGTCCCTGTGTGGAGGGGTTTGCATCCAGCTGGGAGAGATGAGCTTGTCAAGAGATAAGGGTATTAGCATATGTCACAGGTGCTGGGAAATGAGCCAATCCATTTAGGCCCAAAGAAGACACATGTCCTAGGCCCAGGGCTGGGCAGATTTTCCAATCAGTGTTACATGTGTGGGTTCATGGTGTGTTCACTATGCTACTGTCTACTTGAATTGCCACCAAAATGGTCAAAGGCAGTGAACTACGTCACACAAACACACACACGGGCAGAGAAATGCAGTTTGAAATAACGAGAGCAACACTTCACATGACCCCCAAAAGTCAATATCAATAGTTCCTAGCTAGTAAATTGATTCTTTCATATTGGCAAAAATAATTCCTGTCAACAGTTTGTGGATTGCCTTAACTGCCCCTGCCAAGTGCTCAGCACACAGGGAGGCCATACTACCAGGAGACAAAGTTACCACAGGCCAAGAATGTACCTGAGTATCCGAATTGAATTCTCCAAAACTGAAGAGCCTGGACCTCAGCTCCAGTTCTGCTGCCTTTTCCTCTTCTAGCTCACAATTGGTCTTGAGCACCTTCTTGTGCTCCAGCAGGAATGCAATGTTGTTGTTTCTGATGCAAAAGAAGGAGGGAACCATCGTCTGTAACTCAAGGTTGAGGGATGAAGGAGGGGACCATTGTAACTCAAGGTTGAGGGACGCAGCCCTCTTGCTGGGCAAACGTCAGCAGCTGGTACCCAGCAGGTACACACAGTTCGTGTGTGTGTGTGTGTGTGTGTGTGTGTGTGTAAGAGGGAGGGGAGGGGGGGAGGGAGAGAGAGAGAGAGAGAGAGAGAGAGAGAGAGAGAGAGAGAGAGAGAGAGAGAGAGAGAGAGAGAGAGAGAGAAACTGTTGTGGTCGGGTCAGGGATGAATGCCCTGGTGTATGTGGGGGTCAGAGACAACTTACGGGACTTGGCTCTCTCCAGCTACCATGTGGATTCCAGGGATTGGACTCAGGCTTGGCCGCCAGCACCTTTACCCACTGAAGCCTCCCAATGGCCCAGGGCTTCTCTTTTGTTGTTCACAGAAGCAAATGCCAGGCTGTCTGGCCCCTGGGCTGCTGGGGCGTCTCTTGCTTGTCTCTGCCTACCATCTCGCCTTAGGGGCGCCGAGATTACAGATGTGCACTACTGCAGCTGGCCTTATGTGGTTTCCGGGGCTCAAACTCAAATCCTCGTGCTTGTTCAATAGTTGTTTTATCCCCTAGTCCTATTTTTACATCTACATTCAAGTTACAACTAGGCAAATGCACGCTTAAATGCAGGCCTTAACTTCCGTCAGAAGACACTTTCTTTCCTTCCTCTGCTACTGTGGTTCCCCACAAGACCCCAAACAAAGCAGCAGATTGGAGGTACCGTCAGGACCATAAGCTGTGCATCTCCAGATTGTGAGTGTCCCCAAATCTGACTGACACATCGGAATAGCCTCAGCTTCAGGGAAAATGAATACCTAAATAGTTTGCCTCGAGATTCTGGTAAAAATCCTCTAGAGCATGGATTGTGGAGATGGCTCAGCAATTAAGAGCACTGGCTTTTCTTCCAGAGGTCCTTAGTTCAATCCCCGACAACCCCTGGTGGCTCACAACCATCTAACAATGGGATCTGATGCCCTCTCCTGGTGTACATGCAGATAGAGCACTCATGTAGATGTACATTATAAATAAATCTTTTAAAAAAATCCTCCAGGGAAAGATTTGGTCATAGATCCCTTTCCATCTCAAACATGCTCACCTTCTCTGGGCTACCACCACATACACCAAGAATGGAACTGGGCACAGAGGCACAATGAAGGGTGCTGGGAAGCCTTGATTATTTTTTTTTGGGGGGGGGTTTGCCGTCTGGGCAAATTAATTGGTTCTGATTTTAAATGTAGTTTTACCCATTTCTTAAAAACATTTGCCATGTTTTGATGCAGAAAACTGTGTCGAACGATTCTACACATTTTGCACACAAATGGATATAAAGTTTTACACTCTATAATCTGAATGAAACTCTTTCTCAAACCTGTAATCTCAGGGGAGGGGACTCCATGATTCATATCTAGTCTCCTCTGTATTCGGCCTGTATTGCTGCTAGACACGTAACATGATGTAGTATTAAGTCACAGAAAGTCATTTTGCTGAGCTTCACACCCTAGGAAATTGTGTTTATTTCCACTCAATCTAGGTAGCCAGGTGGCCAGCTGACAGCTGTCCTGGACAGAATGGCAGCCATGGGTGTCATTTCAGCTCTTCCAGCAATACTTCAGCAAGTGAAACAGGAAGATTAAACTAAAGCCAGTCTATTCTGTACACTTGTAAATTTTACCTTCTTTGTGCCCAACACCTAAATCATTTTCAATGAAAACCCCAGCCTAAACCATGAGCAGAGGCATCCCGAGCGAGTCGGGTGTGGCCTCAGGTTAGTAACCGTCCAACGGGAGAAATGCACTCACATCTTATCCTGTATAAACCTCTCTCTCTTGTTGACATCTTCGAGATTCTCATCCACATCCTGGGAATACTGGACCAAGGTGAGATTCTGTTCCTCCAGCTCGGTGAGGACCTGGAGCAACTCTTCTGGCTCCTTGAAGTAGATCTCAGGCATCTAATCGACCAAGGGTGAAGAGAAGTGTGTCAGATACACTCGTGTGACTTGTCCAAAGTGTGTCAGATACACCCGTGTGACTTGTCCAGACAATGGAGGGAGGGAGCTGCCATACTCGTCAACTCTCCACGCACGTGGCAAACTCCTTGAGAAAATCACCTTTTAAGGAGGAGCCACTTATTCCTGCTGGGGTGATGTGGGAGGTCCTTCTATATGTTGTTTTTATTGGCTAATAAATAAAACTGGCTTGGTCTATAACATGGAAAGAAGAGGGCAGAGTCAGAGGGACGCCATGGAGCCGCTGCCAGAGTCAGACATGCCAAAACTTTGCCAGTGAGCCACTGCCACGTGGCGGTACCCAGATGAATAGAAATGGGTTAAATTAATTTAAGAGTTAGCCAATAAGAAGTTAGAGCTAATTGGGACAAGCAGTGATTTCATTAATACAGTTTCTGTGTGATCATTTCGGGTCTAAGCTAGCTGAATGGCAGGGAAGAACAAGCGGCCCTCCCTCCAACACAGGGGCACTACTGTAGATGTTGTAGTACATTGTGGCTAGAGAGGAAGACCCAGGGGTCCCAATTCCCTCTCAAGAACACTCTCCCAAAGAGCTAACTTCCTTCCACTAGGCCCCCTCCCCAAGATGTTCCATCCCTGCAGATGTCACATGGTCTGCAGCGGAGTCCCCACCCTCCCCAGCAGTGGGGACCACACAGATGCCTTTGGAAATGCTCAGAATCCATCCTAGAGTGACTGTTCTGAGTATGAGGGAGGCAGAGGGAATTGTAAGGGAGCCACACCTGATTCCCTGGGAGAGATGGCAAACTGTAAGAGGTGAGATTTGGGGTGTGGGGAGAGATGGGGGCTAGACAGGAAGAGGGGGTGTAAAAGGAGAAAGGCTACAGCAGAAGGAGGGGAAGGCAGGAGAGGGGAGAAAGGAAAGATGGGAAGGAGAAAGGAAACTGATGGAGATTTGTTTCTTCTCAGTACTATTTGATATGCCCTGACTTTGTAGAATAAGCATTGCGTTAAGTACGCATTTTCAAAGATGATTTGTATATTAATATGTGTTAGAACTTAAAGTAGCCAAGACACAGAAGCAATAAAAATATTCATAGATTGCTGAATAAGGAAATACAGTACGTATATACACAATGAACAATGTTCAGTCTCAAAAAGGAGAAATTCTGTCTTCTACAGTACATTTGTGTGGTTATGAACATGTGTGTGCACATGTGTGTTGGGGGCTGTAGGAGAACCTCAGATGTGGTTTTTCAGGTACTTTCCACTCTCTCTATCCCTCTCTCTTCCTCTCTCTCCCTCCATCCATCTCTATTACTTATCTATCCCTCCATCCATCTCTGTCTGTCTGTCTATATATCCCTCCATCCATCTCTCCATCCATCCATCACAAAATCTTTTTGCAGTCCTTAAAACTCACCAATTAGGATAGGTTGGCTGGCCAGCAAGCCCCAGTTCTGACTGTCTCGATTTCCCAAGTGTTAGAAAGGGCTCTTAAGCACTCAGCACTGCGCCTGGATTTTTGTTTGTTTTCATAATGGGTTCTGGGGCTGGAAATTGGGTCCTCATGCTTGCAAGGAAGCACTGTACTTCTACTTCCTGCTTCCTCAGTACCTACTGAGTGTACTCCACAGACCCATTCATCGTTTGTTATTGTTTTGTTGTTGTTTTGAGACAGGCTTTCTCCGAGTAACAGTCCTGGCTGCTCTGGAACTCACTGAGTGGACCACGATAGCCTTGAACTCAAGAGATCCACCTGCCACCTCCTGAGTGCGCCACCACCGCCCAGTTTACATGCGCCTTGAGAATCATTGGGGTAAGGAAAAGAGCCCAGCCACCACACACTTACAGCGTATGATCCACTTATTTAAGTAAGTATTTAAATAACCAGTCTTTAAGAAACAGGAAGTAGAAAGATAGTTGCCAGGAGCTGGAGGTTGGAGGGGTGTTGGACAGACACAGTGTTTCAGATGAAGAGATAGAATCTGCCTCACTATAGGGTGGGTATGGTCAGTACAGCTGTACTGCACACTAAAAGTGCTAAGATGGACAGCCACATGTTTGAGCACAGTTTTAAAAGCAAGACGACCTGGATATGGTATGTCTTGTGTAATAATGGGTGGTATTTGGTGGTTTCGTTTTTTTTTTTTTTTTTTGAGTGAGACTTATTTATTTTATGTATACGGTGCTCTATCTGCATGTATGCCTGCAGGACAGAAAAGGACATCAGCTCTCACTAGAGATGGTTGTGAGCCACTATGTGGGTCCTAGGAATTGAACTCAGGACCTCTGGAAGAGAAGACAGTCCACTTAACCTCTGAGCCAGTTCTCCAGCCTCTTATCTCTTTTTAAAATTACTTTTGAGCCTTTGTGGTTGCATTTAGATTGAGGTAAGCTCACAGTCAGTTTTGCTGCAACAATGGGGTGTCTTGCAGGAGGATTATTTAGGATTCTGCTTACCCAATAAAATGAAAAGAAATTCTGGGTTGGTGAGGTAGCTCAACAGATAAAGCACTGGGTATGCAAGGGTGAGAACCAGAGAGACACGTGTAAAAGATGGGTGTGTGGCAGCCCCCGCCTCCCAACCCTCTCCCCTTGTGATCCCAGAGACTAAGAGGCAGAGCCGGGGGATTTCCCAGGACAAGTTGGCTAGGTAGCCAAAATCAGTGAGCACCAGATTCAGTCAGGAACCTTGTCTCAGTAAATAAAGTGAAATGCCATTAAGGAACGCATCCAGTGTCACCTCTGGCCTCCACATGCACAGGCACACACGTGTTTACTCACAGGCAAACAAATACACACACACCACACACACAATGATGAACAGTCTGAGAGAGTTGGCATTTGATAACAGATCTGCTCCAAATGATTTCTTTCGGGGTTGGTTTTTGAGACGGGCTCACTGTGTACCTCAAGGCTGGCCTGGAACACATTATGTGGGTAGCCCAAGCTGCCCTTCAATCCTGTTGCTGCTTTGGCTTTGTTTTATTGAGTCAGGCATCTCTTGTAGCCTGGCCTCTCACTTGTTATACATCTGAGGATGACCTAGGACTGCCCAGCCTCACACCTCTGCCTCCCAAGTGCTGGGATTGCAAGCCTGCTCTGTCACATCGGGCGTCTGGGCCCGACACCCGTGGCTCTCCTGCCTCACCCTCCAAAGGGCCGGCACAGTATCTTCTTATTTGTCTATTTTTCATAGATGGCTTGATGACAGAGATAGGCAATAGCCAGGATGTGAGAGCAGAATCAAGCCACATTTCCTTCTGGAAAATGTGAGACATGTTTGGAATAGGACATTTCAGAAGAAACGAATCTGCATTGACAGCTGGAACCAAGAGGCACACAGCTGGTTACCAGATCGAACTCCAGCGTCTCGTCCTCTAGAAAGAACTCCAGACTGTCCTCCGAGCCCATGCTTTCATCCCGACTGTTAAAAAAAAAGAAAGAAAAGAAATTATTTCTGAGTCACTTCCCATTGGTAGGTTTGCCTTTGTTTCTACATTGGCTTCGAACCCTGACTACCACGGAGTTCTTCTTTAAATTTAATTTTATGTGTATTATGAGCGTTTTGTCTGCACGTGTGTCCGTGTACCACATGCAAACCTGGTGTCTATGGAAGCCAGAAGAGGGGATCAGATGCCCCCGAGACGGGAGTTACAGGGAGTTATGAGCCAACACATGGATGCTGGGAATCGAACCCAGGTCTTCTGCAAGCACAGTCAGTGCTATAACCACTGAGAAACCTTGCCAGCCCCTATTACAGATTCTTTTCATTAGACGGCTTATTGTTTTAGGGGGCTGCTCACCCCACGATTCCACAACTGTGCCAAAGAAAAATCATACTCAGTCCCAGACAGAGTCACATGCAGGAGACTACACAAAAACAGGTTATTTAGCGGCATCAAAAACGTAGCTTGCTTTCTCTAAAGACACACTGACTCCCTACCTTGTGTGTCTGTTTTGTCACTACCAAAGTGGACATGACTTCAAAATGAGAGCTCTAGCGCTGGCTCGAGATTGACTGCCATCTTCAGAATGCTTTTCAGTGAGACAGCTACCTGCCTCTTACAGAGAAGATTTGCTTTTGGTAATAGTTTCTACTCGTATGAGGAAGTATCAGGCAGGCGGATGGTTAAGATACAACTTTACAGAATAATGACGTTGGACCTACGAGATGACTCGGAGGGGTGAGGGCTTTGGCAACCAAGCCTGGTGATCTGACTTGAACCTCAGAACCCACATGGTGGGAGGAAAGATCCGACTCATGAAAGTAGTCCTCTGACCAACCCATGTGTGCCGTGAAGAATACACACACTCCAGGGAGGGGGTAGGTAAAAACTAATGACGTGTCTTGGAAATTGACTCTGGGAAAAAATTCTTTATAAAAGATAAACCAAAAACAATTAGAATTTTAGTACACCAGGAAAAAAGGAGAGAAGGAGGTAGGTGGTGATGGAGGCTGTCGTGGGGAGAAAAACGAATAAATGAAGGCAGGGAGGAGAGTGAGGTACATACCTGTCAGGATAGTGAAAATGACAAACAGCCAATGGGACTACAGAGACGGCTCAGCAGTTCAGAACACTTGCTGCTCTTTCTGAGAACCTGAGCTCTGTCCCCAGCACCCACGTTAGGCAGTTCACAATAACCTATAACTCCAGCTCCAAGGGATCCAGTGCCCTCTTCTGACCTCCACGGGCCACTGAAGACACAGACACACACACACACACACACGCCGGATCAAAGGCTGAAGCTGCTGAGAAACTAGACGTCACACGCACGGCTGGTGGGAGTGTAAAATGGTACAGACATTGGAAACAAACTGACTTGTACTGTCTAGCACACTTTTGCCTTCTAGACAATCATCCGGAGACATAAATATCTTGACACAGAACACTGTATGAGAGGCTAAAGAGACGGCTCAGCAGTTAGGAGATCTTGTGCTTTTGCACATGGTGGCTCATGACTGTCTCCAACTCTAGTTCCAAGGGGATCCAGTGCCACCTTCTGGCCTCGTGGAGCCTGCATGCACATGGGGAAAACATGTGCCAAACAACCATACATGTAAAATATTTCTTAAATATTTATTAGGGCTGGAGAGATGGCTCAGTGGTTAAGAGCATTGCCTGCTCTTCCAAAGGTCCTGAGTTCAATTCCCGGCAACCATATGGTGGCTCACAACCATCTGTAATGAGGTCTGGTGCCCTCTTCTGGCCTGCAGACATACACACAGAGAATATTGTATACATAATAAATATTTTTTTAAAAAAATATTTATTATGTATACTAGTATTCTGCCTGCGTGTGTGCCTGCAGGCCAGAAGAGGGCGTCAGATCTCATTATAGGTGGTTGTGAGCCATCATGGGGTTGCTGGGATTTGAACTCAGGACACCTCTGGAAGAGCACACAGCACTCTTAACCTCTGAGCCATCTCTCTAGTCTGGTAGAATACTTTTTTAAGTTGAACAAATAAAACGTATAGCGGCTTTATTCCTGATAGCCCCACACTAGAAACAACGTGGATATTCTTCAGTAGGTGAACAGTCCAAGTACACAGCATTCAGACTACAGAGCACAGTTCAACAAGAGAACCACCTGCTCATGGTCTAACATGGCTGGATCTCCTGGGAGTTATTATTAAAACCCAAGGGTTACAACACACAGCATGACCCTGCTTACATCAAATGACACCATCAGCAATGGACAGATTAGTGGCTGCGGGGGTGGGGGTGGGGGGTAGAAGTGGGCGTGGCGATAAAAAGACATGAAAAATCCAGGGGTAACATTTTGCATTTGGTAGGGCCAAGGCTGATACCCTGGCTGTGGCTTTGCCCTTCAGTTTGGCACAGGATTCCTGTTGCCAGAAACTGGGTCAAGAGTCAAGGGGGACCTGCCAGGGACTGCATCTAAATCTACAATGATCTCAAAAATAAAATTTTAAGCCAGGCGGTGGTGGCGCATGCCTTTAATCCCAGCACTCGGGAGGCAGAGAGGCGGATATCTGGGAGTTGGAGGCCAGCCTGGTCTACAAGAGCTAGTTCCAGGACAGGCTCTACAGAGAAACTCTGTCTCGAAAAACCAAATCAAACAAAACAAAATAATAATTAGGAAAAAATAGCAAGGGCCAACTAAATGTCACAGAAGTGGGGGGACCCCAGGATCCCCAGAATTCAGAGTCAAATGTCCCTGTGGCCCTCAGGGAGTGTCATGGACAGGGCACTCGGCTCAGAGCCCTTCCTCAAGGCTAGCATGTCTGACTCAGACAGTCATTTATCTCCTCAAAACCTCTTGGGTAGCTAGGGATGAGAATGTATGAAATAAATTAACAATCACGTTAGGGAAGAAACAAAAGAGGAAATAAAAACGCTTTATGGTCCTACTGCAGGAGCTAGCAGGACAGCTCGAGGGGGAAATCCCAGGGGTCTGGGATCTGGTGGCTTCTGGGGCTGTGGTCCTACTCAAAGAGCAGAATTTTGGGGCACCACGGGAGTGCAGATATGGCCCCCCTGTCTCCACTGTGTGTGCCCGCAGGCCTGGAGACGGGGTCTCTGTGTTGAGCATGGGTTAAAACGTTATTTTCTAAAAAGCCTTTAATGGTTTCCGTCAGAGTTTAGTAAGTTTGTACTGTACTTGAAGAACATGGAGGATTTCTTCACGCCTGGGCCAAAAGCAGATTTCTTCTGTTCCCGTCCTGTTCAAAATGTCCAGGTGAGGTCAGTGCCATGGGTGATGGGAGAGGGAAAAGAGAAGACACTATTAGAGATGAGCCCTGGTGTGAGGTACTAATGTGCCTGTTCTAAAAAAAAAAAAAAAAAAAAAAAAAAAAAGTTATTATCACAATGGTGACCATAGAGAAAACGGAGCTCTTTTGTTGCACTGAAATGCGACTCCAAGCATAAGTGTCCAACTGAAAACACAGTGGCCAAGTGGGGCTTGACCACTGAAAGTCCCAAGTGAGGGACAAAAATAAGGGGCACGTCATGGTTCTGTTTTTTCTATATTAGCAATCTCTAGTTCTGATCACAGGGTTTAAAAGAACTAAGGAAAGAACAAAAACGACGCTCAGCTCCCTTCTTAACCAGAAGAGATCAGCCTCTTGGTCATAGGCCTCTTGTACTTACCTGCTCCACATCTGTGTACAGATCAACACCTGGACCAGGGTTGGCCCAGAGAACCTTCATCCACCTGCCCAGGACCCACCAACATCTTTATGGCTCACCATTATTCTTTTTATTTATCCTGCTTTGACTCCACCATGGGCCTCATTCTTGTCACCTACTCCCTGGCAGGCTCCTACTGTGACCTGGTGGGGGTTACATGCTAGGCCTTTCCCACTGAGACCTCACTCCCTGTTCCTGCTGTGCCACTGTCTTCCTTGTATCATATGGTACCCTAAGTCTTTAAAAGTGCCTGAATGTAGATGGAAGTTCCTATCTCACCCAGCCCACAGCTGTTCAGTCCCAAAGAAACACAGAGGCTTACATTATACACTGTGTGACCTATTAGCTCATGCTTATTACCAACTAGCTCTTACAACTTAAATTAACCCATAATTCATGTCTATATTTAGCCATGTGCCTTGGTACCTTTTCTCAGTAAGGCATTCTTATCTTGCTTCCTCTGTGTCTGGCTGCCTTTCCTATTCCCACAATTCTAGTCTGGTTGCCCTCCTTGTACTTCCTGCCTAGCTACTGGCCAATCAGCATTTATTAAAACAATACGAATGACAAATCTTTACAGTGTACAAGAGCATTATTGCATAGCACCTGATATTGTCTGTCTTCGATAAATATGAAGTGAATGAAGAAGAGAGGAGGGAAGCAGGGCAAAGATGAAGAATCTCATCATACAATGTTTTTGCTTTTAGAACAGTGTCTGAGCACGTTTTACTGAAATCATTTTTAGGAGGTGCTATTCAAACTGAGTAACACCTACACTCAACATTTCAGAATGTACCGTTGAGACTCAGCCCTCCTTTTCCCCATCCCTACACTCTACCCCAGATCCCCAAATGGGTAAAGTAATATGTTGTGTGTAGGCTCCAATTGGCTCATACCTTAAAAAAAAAAATCCCACTTTTAACTCTCTGGCAGAATGCATAGCCATCCAGGCTCATATAATAGCATGGTTATTTCTGGGCAGACGAATCTTGCTTTTGCCCTAACCCCAAAATACACCTGCTGCTTAGTGACAAGATCAAGTGGGGAAAGGGGTCCCATGAGTCAGCCTGGATTGGGGATCACAAACTCAGATGACCATAGGGGGCCAGACGCAGGAGGGAAGCCAGCCTGGTGGGAACTAGAATCACTTAATAGGGAGGACCGTCCCACAGGGAAGGACCGTCCCGCGGGGAAAACTAACCCACAGGAAACATCCTTAGAGCCAGGATGTCAGGTCTGGCGGTTTTCAAGGGAACATGGAGATTCAGATATTTTCATGGCATTTGATGGTTTTTAAGTGTTGATTTCCAAGTCAAACAATGTTAAAATGCCGGGTCCAGACCCCTGTGTGTGGTGGTGACGGAGAGTGCTCAGGGTTGACCGTGGTAGAGCATCCTCAGTCATTGTCGCCCTCCCGTCTCAGGCTAGGGTAAGGGGCTGTCATTACAGAAGGCAGACTTGAACCAACTGACTGGGGAGGAGGGATGTAAACGGAGACCACACTTTCATTTCTGGCAGCCCAGACCGAAATAATCACACAGAAACTATATTAATTATAGCACTGTTTGCCCAAAGATTCATGTGTACTCCTAGCTAGCTCTTATGTCTTGAATGAACCCATTTCTATTACTCTATGTATCACCACGAGGCTGTGGCCCACTGGCAATGTTCTGGCATCTTTCTCCTTCATTGGCTTTTCTTCCCTCCACTTTTAAAATATGTTTAAATTTTTTTTTATTTTAATTTACATTACAGGGCCAGCCAGATATCCGGATAAGAAATTCACTTTTCCTCAGGAGAAAGGAAATACTTCCATGTCATTCACAATTGTATCTCCCACCTTTTTAAAGGGTTTTCTTTAAAAAAAAAAAA